TTGGGACAATGGTTACATGGGCGTGGGTCCTTATGCATCATCCTTTGTCTCTAATCTCGTTAGTTTTTTTTTGTTTTCGTTTCTAAAATGAACGTAGCTTCATATTGTTTCCCAATTTCAAATCCACCTCGATAAAAACATCTCAAGCTCTTGTGGAAAACTCGTAATATTTTCTTGTTCCTCGATTTTTTTGTCGTCTATTACATCATGAGATATTAGGAAATGATGATCTATTACATAACATACATGACGGGGGGGGGGATCTTATATGTGAACGCAACATATTTATCTTTAAAACGAAATCTAGTACTTTCTTTTCAATTGATAGTGATTAAAAGTACTTTGATGAGAAATTTAGTCATAGATATATTTGTTGACTGAGTTTTTGTTGTTGCTGTTTATCTATTTTTTCACAATAACGAGTTTGGATGTATTCGTTCCTCAAATGTGAAATGTTGTTTCTCTTTATTTTATTTTTCTAATGCGAAATGTTGTTTTTCTCAAATAGTTTATAGAATCAAAACTACAAAAAGCTAATTCTTCAAAAGGTCTACATATATATATTTGAAATATTTTGCATATACAAGGAACATTAATTAGATATGCTCTTCATTTATATAGAATAGATTATTGTTTTGTTAATTGGCCCTAGAAGAAGAAAACAAAAGTGATGCTCGTGACATGGGCTTCCACTGCCACAGGCCACATGCGTCGGATCTGCCATGAGAATATCATCAACATCATAATTGTTAAGTGATGCCATCATAAAGATCATCATCATGTGCATGTGCATGTGCAATCATCGCATATTCTCATCCATCTGTCACCAGGTAACTACTAAGTATGGCTACGAAGTTGTTTGTCCATAGAACAAAGAAACAAAACAATTTTTTCTTTTACACATGTAACAGTTTGTGTCGGTGACATTTTTGTCCTAACAAAAGTACACCACACGAGTTTAATTGTTTGTCTGGACGAGAAAAAGCACTAATAGTTAACTATGGTTCGTTTTGTTACAGAAACAATATCGTTTGTTATAGAAAAGAAAATCATATTAGTAACGTAACTATAATTCGTTTAAAGAAGGTAAAAGGATAATAGAAACTTGTGAAATTGTAGAGAAGCATCAATGTTTTCATCATAGTACATGAATCAAATCGTACTTAA